GGGGAGAGAAAGGGGAGTGTAAACGACACCACTGAACTTGCAATCAGCGGTTCTGGAAACACTGAAACTGGCTGTGATCTACACACTGGAAGCATTAGCACTGGCTGCGATCAGCAGCACTGGTGCATAACTGCATGATCAATGGCTGTGCTTACACTTGTGATCACTATGATTGCTCACAGCGATCACAAGGTACAGGCTTCTCTTGTCTGTGATTTGTTCTGTCCAATTACAGTGCAGGCGCTGTGTGCACCACCACTGTAGAAAAAGCAAAATGTTGCATATATTGAGGGGAATTTATTAAAACTGGAGCAGACAAAATCTGTAGCTGCTGTGCATGACAACCGATCAGCTTCCGTTTCATTTTCAATTCTTAACTGAACAAACTATAGAGAGATGCTGATTGGTTAGTATAGGAATCTGCTCCAGTTTTGATAAATTCCCCCAGCTGTTCTTTTGGGGAAAACCAAAAGTTTTTTTTGAAATATTGTTTTTGCAAAACTTATTTTATTTTCTGTGGAATTTATAGTAAAAAAAATAGAAAAAAAAAGTAATCAGAAACATAATAGCTAAGGGAAGGAAGGAGTTACTTAGGGATAATTAAAGTGTTATTAAACCCTCCGTTTCTTTTGTAGATATATGCAAAAACTTTTTTAACAAAACGCTTTAAAAAGGGTTAATACTTACCTGTGTCTTCGCCGCGCGCTACCTTCCGAAAATCTAAAGGGTCTTGGGGCGGGCGCATGCGCAGTTCAGATTTTCGGCCGGGAGACGAGGATATACGCAAGGCAAGTCTATGGACGGCGTGCACCTGCATGAAGACAACGTAGGGCAGGAAGTGCCAGCAAGGACCTTAGGAGTCAGCGCTGGATCGGAGACCCGCAGCAGCGCTGGAGAGAAGGCTGAAAACAGGAAAGAAGATCAGATTAAGAGACATAATTTAAGGTAAGTGCATACATTAACATTGGGGGGAGGGACAAAAATTGTATCCTTTAATGTCACTTTAAGGGTTATCCACACACATAGGATTGGTGCCGGGATAGTTTGAATGCTGTTTGGACATTTTGTAGCTCAAAATGGGAAAGCAAATGACATTATGCTATATTTGGTTGAAAGCTCCGAATTGCCGAGCATATGGCCTGTGTAGCCTTTATCTGAGACAAATTGGTTGTTAGGGGAGATATTTCCTAGGTACATCCTCAGTTCTATAAACACTTTTGGCGGCACCTCTGCTAGCAACCACCCCATCTCACCCAGGCTGCACTTGGATATGAGTTCAAGCTTTTTACAGACCTTGGCCCTTGTAGATGTGGGACTATGGGCAATAAGAAGAATCAAAAGGTGAAGTCTGTCACTATCATTAACCGTAGGTTTTGTGTTTCTGAGTTCCCTATTGATATTTCCAGTGGGTTCATTATTTTTATTTCCTGTATTGGGTGGCAACTCTGTTCTGCACACAGTAGTGTTGTCATCCCGTTCAAAGAGGATTCTTAGGTGGACATCAAGTTTTAGATGGACTTTACTATTGCTTACTATGGCTTACTATTCCCTTTCAGAAAACGTCATTATAGTACACAGGACGTTTGCCGCACCCTAACCAGCCCTAATTTACTCCTCTTTCCCCGTTGCTAATTTTTTTTCCTGCTGTTTTTTTATTAATTTTTGTTTTTCCAATCAATAACAATAGTTTTTTTATTTTTTGTCTATGGATTGCATAAAAATTAAAATTGTCTCAGCAAGTCAGTAGTCCCAATAAGCAAAGCCTAGTTTTTCCTAAATAATAATAAAAAAAATGAATAGCATAGCAAAAATGTAAAAATATCTTTGGTTCATTGGGGGTGTACAAGTGTTGGAGCTGGAGTGAGCGACAAACAAAATAACTCCAGATATCACCTTTTAAGCATTTACAGCACAAGGGTTCTTTCTTGATTGTACCGTCCACAACTCTGCTAACTTTGTATATATTATATACATAAGGGCCTGAAGGTCGGTAGAGGGATCTTTTAGTCCAGGACATAGGCAGATTCAGAGACGAGTGTGTAATATGCAGCTATCAGGTGACTGGATACTAACCTGAGCTGTGAGGACTCGTATAACCCTTCCATTTCATAACATGGAGTTTTTTTGGCTTCAGTGGACATCAGAGATGCTAGCCTGCATGTACCAATCTTCACACACCACATGAACACCAACGCTTCCACAAAGGTATTAACTACTTTTCTTGCACTATTGTGCTCTCAGGATGTCCACACTGTAGGATACTTGGATGTTCTGCTGAAGGCTCTGTCTGAACAGATATCCACAGGATGATTCGAGCTATAGCAACTAGAGGGCTGACGCTGCCTGGTATGAATAATAAAGTTTGATTCCCGGACTCCGTGGAGTGTATTTTGGCTTTGGGTTGGATCAACACTTGGCCCTAAGTACGCTGAAAGGACAAATATTGGCTTTGGCCATCCTTTTGATGCCCCTGATTCCTTGGTAAGGGCCCTTTACCAGGGGTTCACAAATGTGGCTTCTAGACGCCAGTGATGATGTGGGTTGTGAATCTGGTACTTTTATCTGCCCAATGAGATCCCTTTGAACCTATCTAAGATATCTCTCTGATGAACATTACATGTAAGGTGGTCTTCCTTGTAGCAATCATGCTGGGAGGGTTAGAATTGGCAGTACTTTTATGCAAAAAACAGTTTCTTGCTCTAGGGATTCCTTTTAGTCTTAGGTGGCGTCCTTTCAAACTACTCATTCTCTTCCAAAACATAATAGGGAGGTCTTGCTCCAATGCTTGGATGTGGTTCGATCTGTCTGACATTCCGATTGTCTTTGTCCTGTCTGATGGACATTGCAGGGGGCTCCCTGTGTCTTGCCCTTAAATATTCTTCCACAATTAGGCCTCTGCACTTAACTGTCAAGGCAAACCCTACTAGATCCGTCATTGCCTCTTCTGTAAGGTTGCCACCTTGTCTTCTGCTCATACGTTCACTAAGTTATACCAGGTGGATGTTCTGCTGCTAGTTTTTGCCGTAAGGAGCTATAGCCTGCTGTCTGAGTTGACGTTTCTCCTCGTTTTCTGTTATGTCGGCCTGTTGGCAGTTGTTTGCTGTGTTGCTCATCCTTCTGGTATATTGCTTTTGGATGTCCCAGTCATCTCTGAATCTGCCTGTGCCCTGTACAGTACTCTAAGAAACAGATTTTGCTGGCAAGTCAAAAATCCTAATTTCTCTTCTAGTAAAAGAAAAAAATCAAGTTTAAACCATATAATTAGAAGCTGACTATAATAAGTACCCTGGCATTGTTATACTGTTTGTTCCAACACCTGTAACTTGTAAATGTGGAGAAAATTATAATCAAATGCATGTGAAGTAAAAACAAAGTCTTCATATACTGAATCCTATCATTACAGGTATTGGCTCGATAGAGAAACCAGAATGCAATGTTTTTTTTTCTTGCAGTTGTGGCCATTTATGACAATGAAGGCTGTCTGCATGTGTCTGAGAAAAATATTTCCTCTTTGAATAGCCCGATGACTATGTTGGGCCTTCCAGCTCCTGAATTCTATGCTGATTTCTCCACCTGTTATGTAACAATGACTTCATTTTTTTTAACAAACCTTTGGTAATGGCAACACTTTTTTGTCTTTAAAGGCTTAAACAAAATAGACCATCAATGTCAGGCATTGAGGTCCTCGGTTCCCTACCTAAAAGAGATGTTGCTTTACTCGAGGAGTATTTTCCCAGGATTAGATCTTTGTCAGGGAAGAGCGTCACTGATTTGGTTAATTATGAGCTGCACAGAATCAAAGATGCCAAAGCAAAAGGTATGTTGGTGTGGAGACAGGGCCACATGGCTTGAAAAATGATGTATTCTGTGCGACAATAAAAGATATGCCCAGGCATTACCCAAATGTACCCCAAATCTCCCTCCCCCTATAGAATATGTCCCAGCATTTTTTTAATACCTTGTTTTTGTAGCTTTTAACACTCCCTATGACATTGTGACCAGACTTGAAAAATTCTTGCAGCGGCAGTTGCTGGCAAGTCAGTTCCTGTTGATGTAAATCTGCCCCTAGAACTACATGTCCCAAAAGCCTTTTCCCTACACACAGTACATGGTCAGGATTTTGGGATGCAAAGCAGCAGCATTGTTTTGCTGGCAAAGATGTCAATATATGTATGTGAATTGGAACAGAGATGGGTGTAGGGGCGGGGGATAGCTCTGTAGTAGACAGGCAGGGCTGACAAAGCTGCTTTGGATTTCAGTGCAGAAAAGGCATGCTTTTGTCAGGCCAAGCAGAAAAGTTAAGGCGGCCATACACTGTGCAAATTTCGTCCGGTTCTTGAGGAACCAGCCAAAATCTGCACAGTGGGTGCCGCTGTTGGCACCCGTTCAGCCAGCATCCCTCAGGTGATTGAAGGAGCCGGTCAGAAAATCTTTGTGCGAACAGAGGCGGCAGCCAATAAGCAGCGGGCTCTGTCAGAATTCAAAAGAAACAGCGGGGATTCCTCGATCAACGTGCTCGTAGCGTTGATGGAGGAATCTGCTCTATTTTTTTGTTCAGTCTGCGGGTTGAAGGGAAAGATTAGAGCAGTGTATGGCCAGCTTTAGGACATTTGCACATTTGATTTCTGTCAGATCAACAAATATTTTTCTGTACTGAAACATGGGGAAATGTGTGAGGTGTACTAAGTCTTTTTAAAATTTTCACAGACACACTTTAGTGACCCTGCCGGTCCTTAAAGAGCAACCTCACCCATATTTTCAAAATAACCACAAAGGCACCTTTTTAGAGATGTTTAGTAATGACAATCTACAAACAGATACTTCACATAATTCACAGCTTTTTATTTTTTTTTGCATGCTTTATTTTTCTTTTCTTCCCCAGTCTTCTGACAGTGGCCATTTTAACTAGGGGCAGGTTACTAGATCTCACTTTACTTCCTGGAACTCTAGCACATGTGACTAGGACATGTGACCATGCACATCATCCCAGGGGAGGAAAATGCCTTTCCCTGAGATCTCATAAGATTACAGACGAGATTTCTCGTGTTGGGCAACGCACAGTAACACAACAGTGTATTGTAGAAGCAGGAGAAGGGTGGAGAGTAATAACTGTGCAAGCACACACAGGAATCCAGTTCTGCCAAAAAGTGTCAAAATTCTGTGGAGCTAATAATGCTTAAAAAATGCAAACTGTTTGAAAGTGGAAAAGGGAAATTCTGTAAGCGGTATTCGGGTGATAAACAGGAACTATAATGTGTATCTTCTCATTTAGGAATTAAGTTTCTGACTGGACGATTTGAAAGCACTGAAGATGAACTGATCAAGAAAAATGTCGAAGAATTCTTGAAGATAGGAGGGTTGGAGTCCGGGGAGATACTATTTCACAGCTATAGGTTTCCTGACAAGAAGCGCACGGTTGAGCAGCTGAAGAAAAAGTACCACTTTCGTCAGCGAATTGGTAATCTATTGACATGTTTCCAACTGAAGACGTTGTGAGCCATGATTACTGCGAAACTTGAAGTTAAATGAAAATCCAGGCACGAAACATGATCTGAGAATCTTATGGCCCACCTAAATGTCCATCCTTAAAGTGATGCTAAACGCAGGAGGTTAAACTTAAAAATGCATTCAAGTACTTTTTAATTATTAACATAAATATCTTATTTGTGTTTTGTGTATTTGTGATTCACTCAGCTCAAATGATCTGTAAATCCCTGTGTGTGTTGTAAAGTAGCCACCGTGTGAGATTGTAGTCCATGATGGGAGTGAGCTTGGAGCGGTGACTACTTTACAACACACACAGGGACCATGGGGAAGAAAAGTAGCCCCCCTCCAGAAGGAAGGACAGTGTCAGCACCAATTCAGAGATGATTTGAGGATCTACAGCTGAGTGATACGCAAATAAGATAGATATAGTTAAAGGTCCTTCAATGCATTTTGTAAGATTTAGCTCCTGAGTTTAGTGTTACTATAACCTTGAAGTTCAGGTGCACATACTAGGTGTATGTTTACCAGATTACCAGAAACATACAGACACTTTGGAGGGTTGGTGAGAAGGTTTTTGCTCTATTCTCCCTGGTTAGATTTATTTCGGCCCAGGTAATGCTGTTTTGGTTAGGAAACGTTTGCATGGCTTTGTTAGGCTTCTGTTCCATATTATCCTAATTTTTATATAGATATAGATATGGCTAATTGGTGTGTGTGTATGTGTATGTGGATATATATCTATATATAGATATATATATATACACATACACATACACACACACCAATTAGCCATAACATTCTGACCACCCTCCTAATATTGAGTAGGTTCCCCTTTTGCCACCAAAACAGCCCTGACTTGTCGAGGCATGGACTCCACTAGACCTCTGAATTGCAAGGTAAAGGCCTCCATGGATCAGACTTGCTTTTGCTGCACATTCCACAGATGTTTGTATTGAGATCTGGAGAATTTGGAACCAAGCCAACACCTAGAAGGTTTGGCCTGGATGGGAAGGGGGTTTAACACCACGGATGTCAACTGGTTAATTCCTCGAACCATTCTTGAACCACTTTTGCAATGTAGTAGAGCGCATTATCCTGCTGAGAGGCCACGGCAATCGGGGAATACCATTTCCTTTACAGGACTTGGTCAGTAAGAATGTTTCGGTAGGTGGTACGTGTCAAAGTAACATCCACATGAATGGGAGGATCTAGTGTTTCAAAGCAGTACATTGCCCAAAGCATCACAATGCATAGCAATTCACTTACTTCTCAGTGGTCATAATGCTATGGCTGGTGTTCAGAAAGTATTCAGACCCCCTTCACTTTTTTTCAATTTAGTTATGTTGCCCCTGATACTACAGTTTACATTTTTTTTTCTCATTACTCTACACTCCCACGTACCCCAACATGACAAGTGAAAACAGAATTTTAGAAATGTCTGAGTTTATTAAAAAAGAAAAAACTGAAACATCACATGTACTTAAGTATTCAGACCCTTTACTCAGTACTTTGTTGAAGCACCTTTGGCAGCAATTGCAGCCTCCAGTCTTTTTGGGTATGACGTGGGAAGCTTTGCACACCTGGAATGGGGGATTTTCCGCCATTCTTCTTTGCAAATCCTAACAAGCTCAGCCAGTTTTTAATGAATTCAGACATTTCTAAAATTCTGTTTTCACTTTTGTCATTATGGGGTACTGATTGTAGATTAAAGAGGGAAAAAAATATTGTATTGTATTTCACATATGTACATTTTCAAATCTCCTTACATTTTATGTGTGCTATATATGAACACAGACATCAGGCTCCTGACCACATATTTCTATGACCATTCTTTCCATGGTGTCCATTCCCCACAAAAAAAATTTCATGGACTATTCTATTTTCTATTCTACATTTTTGCAGTTATAACTAGTACAGTATATTCATTTTAACATTTAGTGTAAAGCTGGCCATACACCTAATAGATTATCTGCAGACTTTCTATGGTCAGATGGAAAAAGTGTAACAAATTCCTACATCTACGCTAAACTGTGTGGATGGAGGAATCCCCACTGGCTCTCAAAACACAAGAACAATGCCTGTATCCAATTAGATTGTTCAGGTATTTTGCAAGCCAGGGGGTCGACTAGGAAGATACTGATTCTTGGCCCAGTGGGAGATTCCTCCATCCACACTGTTTAGTGTAGATGGAGGAATCTGTTGCACTTCCTATTTGACCATAGAAATCTGCAGATAATCTATAGGTGTATGGCCAGCTTAAGGCCTTGTTCACACCAAATGCAGACCAGATCCGGTCAGGTTTCTGCACACGCAGTGCAGTGGGTTGTGCCGCGTTTTAGACGCGTTTTTGATGCGTTTAGGGCCGGTTTTGGTTAAAAAATTATTTTATTTTTTTAACGTTTAACATGGGCTTTCAGGCACTTGCATGCGTTTTGGATGCGTTTTTGCATTTTAGATGCGTTTTTGATGCGTTCCAGACCAGATCCAGAGCAGGTAAAATAGGGCTTGCCACAGTTTTTTCATCCGGTCTGGATCCGCACGCTGCGATGTGAACTGGAGGTCAAAATACCATAGGAATACATTGGACGCAGTTTTGATCCGGTCTGCACCTGCTCTGGTCCAGATCTGCTCTGCGCTTGGTGTGAACAAGGCCTAAGTGTCTCCTCACACTCTCCTGAAGAAATGGCCAGCCTAGAGCCATGAAAGCATTGAGACGTGTTTGTTATGTATACCTTTCATGGAATAAAAAGCTCAATTTGAAGAATTACATTACACTCCATTTCTTCTACCCGGGCGCCTCTGCTGTTTCGAATCTACGTCTTTAGGAGCATCTTAGTCTGTTTTTTCCAGCACAAAACAGAGCCTCGTGGTAACAGCTTTGAGCTGTTTTTCATCTTTGAACTTTGAACATGTGCCTCCTAATCCGAGCCTGTCGGCAGAGAGTACACAGATGCATTTTCTTTTATGTGTATTTGGGTGCAGCAGGCCCCACTTTATATTGAAATCACAGGATAAGTCACCCAAAGATTGTGTTAATACTCAACTGAGTGTTACCACAACTTGAACTGACTGCTGTGTTATTGGGTAAGACACAGGTTTTTCCTATATAAAAATCTCTGTTTACAGCTCCTCTACGTGCAAGGCTATCAGGCTTGGAATGATTGCAAAGCACAGTCACAGAGCAAGGATCAGCACACCTTTTTAATATTATTCAAACTGGTGCTGTACCGACAGAGAAAGCAAAATGCTTTAAAAAGGCTGTTGATGTAGAATAGATCTGAGTCGGTCCACGTAGGACTGACTTCATAAGAAGGCTTTGTATTGGTCCAGATAAAATGAGCAGTGTATTAATTGGGTATACAGATGGCCATTTTTGTCTTCTAACCACTTCAGTATTCTGTATGGATGTCCTGCCCTGAAGTGATTAAAACAAGCTTGTTTTCTTTTTGTTCTGCCGTCTCAGGGCCTTTAGGTAAGTTATTTGATTTGTGTGATTGTAGAGCCGCACAGACAATTTTATGATTGTCGGTATCCTGCCCCCATATTGGACCCATTCCCCCTCAGCACTTCACTTATATCTTGTCCTGTTGTGTCCGAGGCAGGAAGAGTAACGCAACAATAAAACCCTTACAGACTTTTTTTATTTTATTACTCTCTTCCACCTTATCCAATAGTGAAAAAAATATGCGTCTGGCGTTCAGTCTTTAATTGGGTAGATGGCTCTTATTCAGATTGCATCTAACTGGAGTGTAGAAATTTCTGTCCATAAACATTTTCTCTAATTGATGACTTTAATGTGCTTCTCTTCCAGCGAAAGGACTAGCCCGCACTGTACTAGAAGTTAACGGTCGAGGAGCAAAGTTATATGATTTGTCTGGCAATAAGGGACGGTAAGTGATTGCGCTGAGTAACAAGTCTGTTGTTTTAGCTGGATGAGTTCTAAAGAATGTTTATTGCCTGTCTCATTATTGGCCATTAAATGTGCTGTAATGGAGTACTTTACCGAGCATGTATCGGCAGAGGGCATTGGTAGAAGAGCATGTTTTTAGCGGGTGTACAGATAATCCTCGCTTAACGACTTACCTGCTTTGCGACCACTCGCAGTTACGACCGTCCGAGCGACCTCTGTACTGTACATCTGCAACGCTATACAGTACTGTACTAATGCAGTACAGTACTGTACTAATGCAGTACAGTACTGTATAGAGTTCCTCACTTAACAACCAATTCCAGAACGGAACTTGGTCATTAAGTGAGGAATACCTGTATAGCGTAAAACTGGCCATACACCTATAGATTATCTGCAGATTTTCTATGGTCATATGAAAAAGTGCAACAAGATTCCTCCATCTACGCTAAACTGTGTGGATGGAGGAATCTCCCACTGGGCCAAGCTTCAGTATCTTGCTGTAGCTCGCGGTATACTGAGCTTAGGGTGACGGGAGGACGCTTGTTTGTGTCCTCCCGTTACCCTAAGGAGAACTATGGGGAAAAGCCCTAACCCCATAGTTCTCCTTTTAATTACATAATTATTTAATACAGTAGCTGTCATCCCTGGCATATGTCACAGAAAGAACTCCCATCACCAGACGCTTTTGTCTGGGGTAATGCAATTGGCTGCACGCTTGAATCCGTTCCCTGATAGACGGATTCATACATGTGAGCCGATTGGCTAGAGGATACAATTTTCATCTGGCCACACTCAGCTCTCTCCTAGCTGAGCACGGGAGAGGATATTGCTAGATACACTGCACACGAAGCTCCGCGCACTGCCACTTCCCTTTGCTGCACGCGGCTCCGCAGTGTGGTCGCGGGCTTCACAGGCTTAATTGTGGTCACTGCCCGGCCAGTGTGCCCCCCTTCCACCCCATCTTTCACTGTTTCAAAC